TCTTTCCGGCAATATAACTTGAATAAATAAAATGAGCATTAACTGACAAGAATAAATAAAATGAGCATTAACTAACAAGAATAAACAAGATGTGCATGCAGAAGAAAGAAATGAGTATGCGGAAATCATTTTCATCGTAAAATTAGGTTAGAATACAAAACTTTCCGTGGGAGTCATGAGTGGACTTGAGCTAAGCAGACACTTCACGAGAAATGCTTACTTGCAACAGTTGTATACAATATCTACCTTTTGCAATAACTAATACACTTGCTAGTCTAGTAGAAGATGTCGACAGAGAAAGAAAGTATATACCTCCCGTTACTTGTAATTTTTTGTCCTCCATAACCGACTTCGAATGCCTTTGCCACATTGCTCGTCACATCATCTCGACTCACGATCAGCAAAAATTAAGTCCAAACTGAAGTGGCCTAGTGGAAGATATCACAATCGGCACTTAGGCTTGGGCTGTATTTAACTTCTAATATGCTTTTGTATACCATCCCTTTCATCCGCATGCCATTTCCATAGGCAAATATCAGGCACCACAAAATTCTGAGTGACACAATCGCTATCCAATATTGTTAAATGGGGCATTCCATGTAAATTATTTTTAGATTTTAATATAAAAATATCACAAGAAATGAAAATTATAAACTTAAAAACTAATCGGATCAATTATTAATTTGTAGTTAGCCACTACGAGATGCCCCAATGGTTGAGAATGAATTTCAGATTCGTATTTTATACGGCACGTCTTGAGTTCGATTTTTGGCGCAGGTGAATTGCACAATGGTGACTTGAGGGGTCTAAAATGCCTCTATAAGTCCCTCTATAAGTCTTCCCAACCCTTGAAAGGTTGGCCTGCTGTGATGAAACCACCCGCTGATCCATTTTTTTAAGAAGAAAAAATTCTAATTTGTAGTCATGTATATATTTATACTACTCATAAGCCAAAATTGAAATTCAACTCCAAAACCAATTAACAGCTCTCTATCTTCACAATTTAATTGGTTTTCAAAGGTAATTAAGTTTAGCAAGCACGCGTATTACGTATATGTAGTGGACAGTGGCGGTTGGTAAGCAAATTTGGCTTGACCTAAAAAATTGGAACATTACAAAACAAAACCTGGAGGACCACTAACGGATGATGCCTAATTAAAGATGAAAAGCATATTTGAAATTAGTTTGACCATTTGGGATATTTCGTGAATGCAACAAAACAAGGAAATGGAAATTCTCATATGATGTATGATTTTATTCCAAAACATGACTATTGAATAAGAAATATATATTGACAACAAAAAAGAACATAATATATAAACATAGAATTTGAGGTTAAAAGTATGAGTTTAGTCATGCACACGAGATTATATGATAAATTTTTTCACTTTCACAATAGCATTTCTTTCGTCTATAATTAGATTTGATTTTCATCACAAAAGGTTTGTATCTCACATTGGAGGAGTTGGCTAGGCCGGGGAGGGGTGTTAATAATCTTAAATGTTCATGTAAACGTTATCTTCTGTATTAATCCACATAGAGAGAAATTGGGAGGACTTGACTTCGGAACAGAACCAATTGGAGAATTCACCGCTTGCAAATAAATAAAGACAATTATAATTGTGAATTAAAAGAGATAATAAATTTACTAATTTTTTGGTGAAAAGTTAAATCTATGAAATATTAGTAGGGCACAGAGGCAGAATAGTCACAAGAAAAAAGAGGTTACCACGGATCAAGATTGCGGTGGATCCCATCACGTGGGAAGAATGAGGTCCTTTCTTTTTTTTGTTTTTTTTGGGAGCAAAGAATGAGTTCTTTATGGAATAAAGAGAAGAATGAGTTCGTTAAAAGCGTAGAAAGGGTACAAAAGATGTCGAGGAACTCTGCGAAACATGCGGTTCGGCCACTTTGTCGTGAAGGGAATGACCTTAAATTTACCAGACTACCTGTGTCCCATAACGTTGGTCGTCCAAATTTCAATGGCATTTTGGTAAACTCATGCAAAATAAATCTCCGTGCTCATCCAATCAAGTAGGTTTATTAGGTGTCTAATCCCTATAAATCTGCAGCTGGTGCACTGCCAGATGGAATTGTGATTTTTGAGTTGATTTACAATCTTTCAAAATTCAATTTCAATTTGACCCAAGATATCCTGAAAAAAATAAATCCTCTCCGTACTTAATCTTTTGCATTTGTCAACATTCTTTTTTTAATTAAATTATGCGCCTTCTTAATCTATGTGTTTCTTTTGTTTCAATTTGGTCAATTTGATTAGTGTGTTTATCATCTTGGTGATTTCTATTTATTTTAACTAAAATGCATTTACAAATGTTAATGCGTCAAATTAGATTAACGGCTGTGCAAAAATGACTAAATTAGCCAAATTCAAAGCACTTGAGTCAAGGAATCCTTGATGACGTAAATTTTTCTTACAATTATTAAATGAATTGTGTCTTGCATTTGCTACATCATGTGAGTAAAACGCGACTATGAATGCGAGATACCGCAACGATAGAAGAATGTTTTTCTTGTCCTATTTATAGGCAATATTCTTAATTTTAAGATGTAAAGTGATGGTTCTCTTGTGAGTGTTATAATACATACATGATTGAAGGCGTTGGCCCACCCTATGAGTAAAAAGTTTGTAGTAGATCCTGAATTGACTAGGAGCTACCCTCATGTCTAGGGTAAGTCGAATGTCGAGAGCTACTAACACAAGTTAGTATATGACCCAGAGTTGATCCGACTTTTTATTGACAATGAAGTACAATTAATTGAACCCAAAACAATTATTGGATACTAGTAAAAAAAAACCTCTAAAACTCAATTGCTTAAGAGCATTCATTCATTTGATCTGCAGTCACAAGTTCAATTCTCTATTCTTCAATATCATTTGTATAAAGAAAAATTAGTTACATGCTATATTATGTATATAGTCGAAAGAAAGTGAATTTGACGTATGACATAACCAGATATTCCGCAAAGTTCACAAATATTGTTGATTTTTCATTTTTATTCAATAACACGATGGTGGCTAGGATGAGGTTGAAATGCCTTTATCAGTATTTTCGGTCTCTAAAAGAGAGCACTACAATGACGAAGCCACCACATGATCCATTTGTTTTTTTCAAAAAGAAAACATAAAGTACAATTCACTGACGAAGACCTACCAAAAATCAAAGTGGTAAATTCAACATGTTGAGTTGGGAGGTTGTAGGCAGCGCCAATGCACCAAATGAATGGTCCATAAATGTCATAATCTTTACTAGTTCAGACGGTTTCCTGCATGTTGCATTAATACCCTCCCCAATATGCAATGCGAAAGGGTAGCTGTGGAGGTGGAGGTGGTGGGGCTGCCATTGCTATTAGCCATCGATGCATAAATTAACTGGTTAAGGGCGACAAGTAAATCCAATGGAGGCAGGGGATAGATTTCATCTCTTCATTTAAGAGCTCTCTTGTTAGATCCAAATCTAAATGCATTTGTCCTTGTCTTTTGAGAGACGTCCTACCTTCCATTTTAGACACTCATGGCCTTTGGACTAGCACTCGAGATATTTATGTCGGCGAGTTTTCAAAGGTTTAGAGTTGAAAGACAATGACCGACAATGACCTTTTGATTTAGTGACATCTAATTTCAAAAGATTTTGAGTTCAAATCTCAACAGTATAACAACATGACAATTAAAATCCCGACTTTACTCATTCGACCAAAATAATCTCAACTTTACTCATCATCTAAACAATGAAGTTTTTGGTGTACAATTTTGGTTGGCAAGAATTAAATTTTATATACTAAATTTTTACGCACGCTTATCCAACAAGCACTAACAAAGAAAAATGGGGTGAAGTTTGTAGACGTGTTCCATCAAAGCTCCCAGATTTATTATCTTGGCTGAATGCTTTTCAGATAATATTTTTTTATCACAACGATATTCTAATCTAATCAAACCTACGGGAAGAAAATTCACATTTTGGTCCAAAGATGAAAGACATGCTTTAGTCAATTTGGCTAGAGCTCTAAACCACATTGGGCCCTGCCAGCTTGTTTGGCCCTACAAACAATAATCTACCCGGACCACAAACACTGCATCCCAAGCCCAGCCCAACAGAGCAAGCATGTATATGATGGCTTCGGAAAATCTAATTTACATACCAAATAGCTATTAATCTAGTGATAATTCTTGAATGAAAAAGGTATGAAATAGTTCCCGAGCAATTCGCGGGATCACCAAAGACTATAACAACAACAACAAAACTTTTTTTCACTAAGTGGGGTCGGCTATATGAATCTTAAAATACCATTACGCTTGGATCACCAAAGACTACAACAACAACAACAACAAAACCTTTTTCCCACTAAGTGGGGTCGGCTATATGAATCCTAGAACGCTATTGCGCTTGGTTCTGTGTCATGTCCTCTGTTAGATCTAAGTACTTCTTTTCTTAGGATCTCTTTCAAAGTTTTTCTAGATCTTCCTCTACCACTTCGGCCCTGAACCTTTGTCCCATAATCACATCTTCAAATCAGAGTGTCAGTAGGCCTTTTTTGCACATGTCCAAACCATCGTAACTAATTTTCTCTCATCTTTCCTTCAATTTCGACCACTCCTACTTTACCTCGGATATCCTCATTCATAATTTTATCCTTTCTCGTGTGCCCACACATCCAACGAAGCATCCTCATCTCCACTACACCCATTTTATGTACGTGTTGATGCTTCACTGCCCAACATTCTGTGCCATACAACATCGCCGACTTTATTGCCGTCCTATAAAATTTTCCTTTGAGCTTCAGTGGCATACGGTGGTCACACAACACGCCGGATGCACTCTTCCACTTCATCCATCCAGCTTGTATTCTATAGTTAAGGTCTCCATCTAATTATCCGTTCTTTTGCAAGATAGATCCTAGGTAGTGAAAGTGGTCGCTCTTTGGTATTTCCTATCTCGGATCACCAAAGACTGAGGGGATAAAAAGAATGCAGGACAGAAGCATTGCCAATGGAGAACTGTAAAATTATTCTTTCACTATAATTCAAGAGCATCTATTACGGTCACCTGTTATCTCGTTTACTCGGAGAGTTTACATGGTCAACTAAACTGCTGCTGATCAAATGAAGTTTGAAAATCCTCCCAACTTAATAATAAGGTACATATCATAAAAAGAAAAGATCGACACCAAGAAGTAGACCAATCTCTTCAGTTTGATTGTAACGCTGCGTCCATTGTTCCAAAAGCCCCAACCCTATCTCGAGGAATCAGGCGTAGTTCAGAACCATGCTTGAGGAATACATTCCCTGCAAAAGCCAGACAAAGTTTGTGTGAAACCAAGGGTCTATTCCATGCTAACAATAATGATGGTTCTAATAGCATAATTCCACCAATAACAGCTTGCTATCTGGTTTTTTTTATTTTTTTTTATTTTTTTATTTATTTTTATATACACGTACACATGAAACTTAAGCAGTTCAGTTTCCAAAAAAAAAAAAAACACTTAAGCAGTTCTGGTAGAGAAAATTCTCAACTTCATATTTATACCCTACCCTCTTTGGTTTAGCTATAAACTTCAGCTTAGGATGATAGATTTTAGGTTCTAGAATATGCTGTGTGAATGGGTCTGATTTCATATGTGAAAAAATGATATAGAAGCAACAGCCCCATTTAGATGCAACAGGCTCCCTGCCCTGTCTCTCTCTTCATCTCTGATCACGACGAGAGATGCAATGAGAATGAGAGGGTAACTAGCAACAGCATTCATGCCAGCATTTCGACCATTCCATTTTTTTTAAAGGCAAAGTACGCTTTCTATTACTTGTAAGGTCTGGAGTGGTTAAACATAAAATACATTCATGTTGAACTAATGTCATATTAAAGACTCATTCTACGGAGAGGAGGTTTGGTAGGGTAAATCTATACAGTGCGTCTAAATTGTTGATTATTAGGATACAAAATTATACAATAGCAAAACAATAATAATAATAATGAGAACAGAAGAGAGCAAAAAAGGTAAAGCATTGGCATACCTGCACTTTGCTGAGGATTGATTCCAACACCATCTGCACAAAAGTGAGGAGAAATAAGCAACAAAATTTCAACACCAAAGGCATTGATATCCTGAAAATTAAGAGGTCTTGCAAAGCATGCTGTATAAGTATAAAATCTACGCTGTCTTCCAAGATATTGTATCATCTTTCATTTCTGAATATTCTTCCTTATGATATTGACATACATTTACTTTTGTTAAATATCAATTTCTTCTAATTTTTGTTTTGATCTCTTAGGATATGGGAATCATATAGTAATTAAGCTAACAAAACAAAGCTTGTTGTCCTCAAAGGGAAAAGGACTGAGATACCGTTATGTGGTGGCAATGAAGTCACGCATTTCAAATTGTGCACATTGATTCTCCATAAAAATGTTGGGGATTTCAATTACATCTCAGCTGAAGCAGTGAAAAATTATGCACTGTTCAAACGTACTTGAGAAATTCTAATGTGCACTTATGTGAAGTCCCTTTACGCGAATTTAATCACATAAGACATGACAATGGATATTTTCTAATATCAAATTCTAGAATGCCAGCTGCAGTTCAAATTCCCCATTTTTCTTTCCTCGGCTCTATCCATTCCCTATATTCGAAACTCGATCTCTATTTGAGTTTACACCACTTGTACTCTACCTGAATTATAAGTCTGAGCCGTCAATTTTATTTTATTTTATTTTTTATTTTTTATTTTAACAAACGATATTATCTAGACTAATAAAGAATGAATGACTAATCTCATAATGGGCTAGCAATAATTTGGTTCAAATTTGCCTTTTGACAAGAATCAAACCTAAGACCTCCGCTTACAAAAGTCTGAGCTGTCAATTCAAAAACCCCAAGATCTAATCTTCATAAGCGTATTGCAATCTCATACCTTTGGATTAGAAAATATGGGATGCCCAATTCCCAGAAACCAAAAACCCTAATTCGATACCGATCAATGCCCTAAACCCCACAAACAATCAATCGAAATTTCCAATCATACATAAATCATCAATTCGGAAGGTCACAAACTGTACGAGACAAGAAAGAAATCAACATCAACATGCAAAAGCCCAGAAATCAAATTACCGTTCGTGATGATGGCGCTGGTTTGGGGAGGCACTTTGAATTCCTCGGCCGCGAATTTCAGCACGGCGGTGAAAGGGGCTGCTTCCGGAACGCTAAACCTGAAAGGGACAAAAAAAATCCCAAAAAATTGATTTGAGTTATAAAAAATTATGAAAAATCGGAGGAGGAATTGGAACAGAAATTTGAGGTGGGTTTATAAGATACGAACACTTTGAAGGGGAGCTTTGGATCGGAGGTTAGAGTGACTTTGAAGGAGACCTTTCCACCACCCGCCATTTTTATTTAATTATTTTTGTATTGGATAGAGAGGTCCTTCCCTTATATGTGTTTCGTATTTCTAACGCAGATAGATATATCTTGGCAGTTGGCAGGTAAAGGGGAAATTAGTAAATTATCATAACATTTTATGATTCTAACCAAAACTTAACATGAAAATACTACTGTGAACACGGAAATTTCCTGAAATGAAAGAGACAAGAACAACGTACACAAACAAATATTTGTATTTGATGATTTTGGGTTACAATCTCTCTCAAATTTGATCATCTGATTCGATCTCCGTAAGATGTTGATTTATGGATATGTGATTGATCCAAGGGTTGTCGAGGCTTGATCTTGGATGAACGTTCTTTAAGGGCCGTGGGCTTGATCTTTGAAAGTGGATTTGAGCGGGTCTTCAAGGAGCCGTTGGGGCTTGATCTTGAGGATGAGTGTTTCTTCAAGGGCTGTTGAGGCTTGATCTTGAATAACGGTGATGAGTGGATCTTCAAGGGCTTTTGGGCTTGATCTTGAAGAACAGTGATGAACGGATCTTCAAGGGCTTTTGGGCTTGATCTTGAAGAAACAGTGATGAACAGATCTTCAAGGGCTTTTGGGCTTAATCTTGAAGAACGGTTGGATGTATGTGGATTTGTCGACGTTGTTGATCCAAATGGTCGTTGGGGTTTGATCTTGGATGAACGGATGATGAACGATGGTGCTTTCTTCAAGGGCCGTCGGGGCTTGATCTTGAATTGGTGGAAGTTCTTCAAGGGCCTTTGGGGCTTGATCTTGAATTGGTGGATGGTTGATCCAAGGGCCGTCGGGGCTTGATCTTGAATTGGTGGATGATTGTTGATCCAAAGGGCCGTTGGGGCTTGATCTTGGAAGAACGATGAACGAAGAACGAAGAACGCTTTCTTGATTCTTTGGGAACCTGGATGCTTGAGAGCTTCGGAGTTTCAGAGCTTAAGAGCTTCAAGAATTTTGCCTAATGATTTTGGTTCCTCAAATGAATGAATTAGCCTTCTATTTATAGAAATTTCCAAGGCCTAATTTTGAATATAATATTCCAGACGAAATAAGTCGTTTCTGCCAGGTGTTGACACGTGTTTTGTTTGATGACTTTTCCAACTTATTTCGATTTTTTGTTTAGACACACGCTACGTGTAAAATTTATGTAATACATGAGCGTTGAAACTTTGATTTATCGGTCAACATTTATTTACCGAAATTTCGATGTCTACAAATGCCCCCACTTCAAGGCGCGTCGTATACATGTGCTTGTCACGTGTAGGAGATGCGTTTTGAAGTCCCTTAATGTAGATGTCGATCCAAGGGCCGTCGAGGCTTGATCTTGAAGGTTGAAATTGGACCACAAGGAGCTTCATGTGGTAGATGATCCTTGGCTTTGGTAGTGGATGAATCGGCACGTATTTTGTTGCACTTGTTGACTTTCCACATCTTTGATCTTGAACTGGATTGGAGGACTTTCCGGATTCCTCCAATTGTTGACTTTCCACAGCTTATTCTTGAACTGGGTTGGAGGATTTTCTGGTTTCCTCCGATTGTTGACTTTCCACAACTTATTCTTGAACTGGATTTGATTCAAGGGTGGTAGACACTTGATCTTGAATTGGACTTATGATTTCCTCAAGGGTCGTCGAGACTTGATCTTGAATTTGGCTGGAAGCTTCTTCAAGGGCCGTTAAGGCTTGATTCTTGAAGGTTGACTCGAACACATGGCAAACAGGCACGAGGTGGAGGTGACGACTTGTTGCTTTGTTCAATCTTTCTAATTCACACCTGAGCAGTTTGGTCAATGGTATGATCTTCAAGATTGATGGGCTCTTCTTCCAGTTGGTGACTTGATTTTTAAGGATTTGATTCAAGGGTGGTGAATCGGCATATGCAGCCCACAACGCCTAGTAAGTCGACCCAAGAATTTGAGGGTCAAAACGAGTTCACCGTCCAGAGTGATTGCAAACTTAATTATATGAGATACTTTTGATTTTGAAGAAGTAGCGGATGAATCGGCACGTGCTTTGTTGTGCTTGTCTCCACATGGTTCAATGTATCATTTTCCCTTATCTTATCTATTCTTCTGGCAGAGTGTAGCATCTTCTCGAGTTCTTCAGCTCAGACTCCTTCTGTTGAGCTGACTGTGCAGGCTGCATTCTTCTCTGCTTGTTTCTTCAGGCAGATGTGGCAGCTTCTTGAGTTCCTCAGCTCGGACTCCTTCTGCTGAGATGACTGTGAAGACTGCATTCTTCTCTGCTTGTTTCTTCTGCACGTTGTCTCCACATGCTGCAAGGTATCATTTTCACTTGCCTTATCTGTTCTCCAGGAAAATGTGGCATCCGAGTTTGAGTGGAGGTTCCGGCATATTGTTTTCTTTATCCTTGTCTTTGTAGGTAAGAACAAGGACAAAGAAAGGACAGGGAGAATGCATGATATGAGATACTCTTGCTTTCTACCCTGATGATATGAGATACTTTTGCTTTGGTGTCATTTGTTTGCAGAGGTACCCCCAAGGAATAAGAAACGCTGAGTGACTCGAGAGGCTTCGTTGGAAAGGCATTCTCGGAGATGAAGAAAGGTTCTGTATGTCTGCCTTGCTATGAAGGGTGAAGGTGGACAGTTATAGGAATTTCTTTAGTACCTGTAGAGGTACTATTCTTTTACTCGTGTCGGCAACCAATGCGTGATTGATCAGTATGGCTTCATGTGCTTTCTTCTTTATCAGAAATCTTCGACAAATTGTCCGTAATTTTCGTCAAGCTGAGTGTGCATGTGATAGGTGTTGACGAGGTTGAAAAAGACCGGCGCCTCTTCGATATCTAGGATCGGCGCTTCGACAAATTGCCCGTGATTTCCACAAAGCTGAGTTTGCGCGTGATGGGTGCTGACGAGGCTGAAAAAGACTAGCGCCTCTTCGATATCTGGGATTGGCGCTTTAACAAATTGCCCGTGATTTCCGCAAAGCTGAGTTTGCGTGTGACGGGTGCTAACGCGTCTGGAAAAGCAAGATGCTTCTCCGATTTATGAGCTTGCCTCTTCGATTTTTGAATCGGCATCTTCGATTTCTGAGCCCCGTCGAGTGCAGAGGTTGCATATGACAAGTGCGGGCAAGTCTAGAAAGGAAGATTGGCTCGTGGTTTTCGAGCAAGCCTAGCTTTTGAGAAAGCTAGCACCTCTTCGATTTTTGAATTGGCCTCTTCGAATTCTGAAATCCCGTTGAGTGCTGATTTTTATAGAGGCACGCAGTTCGTTTCAAAGCACACTTGAATTTTCGCTTGTGAAAACTCCCTTCTTGCACTTCTAAGATCTTGATTTGTCTGACCTCTTCTTTCTTCAACACCTTTGAAAATGTCTAGACCCTTCGACCGTCGTTTTGACTTGAACCTTGGTGAAGAGGCAGTCCATTCTTCTTCAGACAACATATGGCGCCTATCATTCATATCCCCTACTGGTCCTCTTACTGTTGGGGATTCGGTGGTGAAGAATGGTATGACCGCTGCGGTGGTGGCCTGGAACCTTGTTACTCCCAGAGATAACAGATTACTTTCCAAACGTTCTGATGAGTTGGCTGTTAAGGATTCTCTGGCTCTCAGTGTGCAGTGTGCAGGTTCTGTGTCTAATATGGCCCAACGCCTATTTGCTCGAACCCATCAAGTTGAATCATTGGCGGCTGAAGTGATGAGTCTCAAACAGGAGATTAAAGGGCTCAAGCATGAGAATAAACAGTTGCACAGGCTTGCACATAACTATGCCACAAACATGAAGAGGAAGATTGACTAGATGCAGGAATCTGATGGTCAGATTTTACTTGATCATCAGAGGTTTGTGGGTTTGTTTCAACAACATTTGCCTTCTTCTTCTGGGGCTGTACCGCGTAATGAAGCTTCAAATGATCAACCTTCGGTGCTCCTCCTCTTGGGGTTCTGCCGAGTGATGTGGCTTCAAACAGTCAACCTCCGACGCCTCTCATTTCTGGAGCTCTGCCGAGTGGTGAGGCGGCACCTGATCGTCCTTGAAGATCCCCTCTTGTAAATTTGATTTGATTTGATTTTTTTTAAGTATGTATAATGCAAATTTATGTAAAATTTTCAGAAAAAAAATAAATAAAAAACAGACTTTATTTCTCTCAATGCATTTGTTTTGTTTTGTTTTTTTTTTGTTTTGTTTTTTTTGTTTTTTGTTTTTTGTTTTTTTTAAACATACATATATTATGCACACACACATACATACATACATACATATTAATTTTTTCACGTGGACTGATTCACCATTCCAAAAACCTTTTCCCCTTTTTTTTGCATGGTGCTAGCCACCAAGAATCCATTTACTTCTTTATATATATACATACATACATATATATATATATATTATTTTTTTATTTTATTATTCTTTTTTTGTTTCTTCTTTTCCATATGCTTTCGGTGCCAGATGCACCATCTATTACAAATACATAAATATTAGGGTGGTGGCTGACACCATCATTTTTATATATATAAAATTTTATTATTATTATTTTTATTTTTATTTATTTATTTTTTTATTATTTTTTTTTTCACTTTCGATGCCTGGTGCACCATGTCTCCTTTTTTTTTTTTTTTTTTTTTTTTTCATTTTTTATATATTATAATTATTATTATTTTTTATTTTGTTTATTTTTTTTATTTTTTATGCACACATACATACATACATACGTACATACATATACATATATATATATATATATATATATATATATATATATATATATATATAGGGTTAGGGATAGGAGCTTGGAGGAAAGCTTTAGGCAGCAGCCATGGCGGAGCAAGGAGGAGATGATGGAGCAGAGCTTCGGAGCACCGATGCTTCAGCCACGGAAGGCACGGTCGTGGAAAGGACGAGCTTGGGGATGGAAACCACCTGGTGCACTAACCACCACCTTGGTAGTAACTTGCAGCGGAGGATGAGCAGAAGGAGCAGAGAACGACGAGGACAGACGCACAAGCAACAACTGTCGAGGATCCTATTGCTCAGAGAAGGTCACGAGTATGGTGATGAAGTTGGAGGTTAGAGGACGATGATGACGAGCATGGATGGTCGGGGAAGGGCA